CACGTGAACCGTTCTGTTCTGACCCTATCCATTGAATATGAAAACATTGTTATTATAATCTCTAACTGATCTCAGGTAAGTTACGTAAATACTCAATAGCTGCCATAAAAAAGATGAGCTTAGTCTTAGCCTGAGACACTGAGGGAACCCAGTGCAATGTTATGTGTTTATATTGTACATATATAATTTATTCGAATTTGACCCTAATCCTTGTCTCCTTTCGTAGCCGAGTGATCTGTACTGAGTTCACAGGACTTATAATTGCAGGTAGTGTGTACAAAGAATGTCCCATGGCTCCTCACAATGCGTCCTGACCCCACTCAATGACATCTCACTGGCTGTCACGCTTAGAAACAGTGTTGCATTTGGTGACTGAATGGCCCTCGTGCTGCATTGTTACCAAGCGCCGCCACTGGAATAGAACTTCTTCCCGTAATATTGTTGGAAGCTCAGATGAAGTGTGCCACTAATTAGAACCATTGATAAGGAGTCTACAGCAAGTCCTAAACTTGATAGCAAATTGCCTAAGCGTGGTACACGCTACGTTACGTTGCTTTGATGAAATAATGCATGTGTGGCTCGAAGACGGCTTTGGAGTGGCATGATAGGGGTTGATCAGTGGTCGAAGCTGTACGGGCCCCTTGGTGCCAGAGCATCCTTTTGGTATATGCGGCTGTGTGACTAACTTGGCGCGTGACTTCCGTGAATAGACGGGAGATCGTGTGACAATCTTAGGGAAATGTGCCAGCTGTGGAACTGTTGTATGTAATAGTATTCTTGCAAGCTGCAATAAACTTGTGAAGTGCATTTATACTGTCAAAAAATTTATACATGCATTTCAATCCATGCAAATTTAATAATATGTGCAAACATTCATTAAACTACTTGTATGTTATCAATAAAAACCGTATGGCCCAAGTGCAAAACGTTTCGTTTTTCTCTTGATGGATATACCATTACGCTCAAAAGCAGCTTTAACAATTTTAGGAACTATTATCTTCGCACGGCATATAGATAAGTCTCTTTACTTCCCTTTGACAAATAGTTGATGCTGGAGAGCTAATTTCCTTTGGTCCCAAATTCAGATGCCTTTGATGCATCTCTGAGTGGCCTCCATGACGTGCGCCGGTGACAAAATCGTTCCAACTGCCCCGTGATTACTAAGCCGATTACCGCTGAAGTTAGGTCTATCGTCGCTGTGACCACCGACCGGAGTACTACCACGTGTCGTGTTGGGACGCCACTGCACGTGCAGAAAGCGTTTACCTACATACATCTTGAGACTGGCTGGCCTGATTGCGCTGAAAGTTAGCACGTCATTAGCTGTTGGCTTGGTGGCTGACCCGTGGGGGAGGGGGAGGGTGATGCCGTCCAGGGGCCGCTTCTACACCTCAAAAGCAGTTGGGCCAATGTCATTCTGTACCGCTAGGTGCGTCTACATAGGTAAGGTACATACACTTAGTCGTATTACACACCCGTACATACATGCAACTAGGTTAGGGTCTTTGCTCATCAGAGCTTGTGGAAGGCTCACTTTCACTAACGCACTCTACTCTTGAGTTGATTCGTCATAGTGGTTTAGGTATGCACTGAACCGTTTTCCATGTGCATGCATAAATGCATTAATGTATGAATGTTTTTTTAGACTATATTTTCTCTAGTAACTTTCATAAATATTGGTTTTTAGTTCCTTCTACGGCTCGCACTTTGCTATCCTATCCCTTTTCTGTCATACGTCATACGGCCCGTCACTAGTAAACATCTGCACGTTCAAAACATGTTGCATTTTACAACGTTTTCAGTGCCAAGAAATCTCACGCACCGAGACAAAACTTCATAAATTTCATAAACCAATACCATCTCAAGTCCTCACAGCCTTTTTCCTTCGATTTTTCATCACAATCGCCCGAGCCTTCTCAGGTACGAAGGCTTCTCACATACGAGAGATTTCCAGTCACGTACCGTCCCTTCCCATTATAACTTAAACTTTCAACTCTCCATCGCTAACGCACTTTGAGCAACCTTGAAAAACATTGTCAGAGGGACATCATCCTTTGTCTGCCGCAGAGGCTTAACGGCAGCAACTCAACTGCAATAAGGAAATTCCGAACTATTGAGTGTTCAATTGTCTGAATACAGTCCCCACTAACGTGCCTTTCACTTGTGTTCTCCTCCAGAGGCTATGCAGACCACTGCAGAGGCTATATGCAGACTACACGGTGTTTTGGCACCAGATGGCCTAACGTCTATCTGATGTCGCTGTAATTTCGAGCAATCGGCCGTCTGAGATGGAGTAATTGGCACTGTCTATTGCTTCAGAATCAATAAGAAAACAAGAGATTAGCCGTTTTAACGACGGCCATCTGGTACACATTTGGTGCACATCTGGTACAGATTAGGTGCAGATTTGGTCAAATCAGGTTCAGTGTGTCTCTTAGCAGCTATCAGCTAGGGTTGCACTAATTGCTTATATGCCTGCTTTGTCATATTATCAGAGACATGGGCGGCGCCACCGGGGGGGACGGGGGGGACAGGTCCCCCGCTATCGAAAGTTAGGGGGGTACAGTACCCCACTATCGGCGAGGCCCGTTCAATAGTTGATAGTAATGCATTGTAGAGTTATCCGTCGCATTTAATGCATCGTTGGTTAATCAAGGCAGGTTCTGAATAAAGATTGCTGTTGGGATGTATCACAGGGGGGTCCTGGCCATCTGCAAAAGGTGTGGAGCTGTGATGCCTGTAGTAAGGTATAAGGTGATCGGCAGGGCCTCGGGGATCGTGCCCCCCCCCTTTTTGGGGCGCCAGGCAGGGTTATTACCTCCCCACCCCACTGCCAGACCCCATTGCCGACAAAACCAAGTTTACTAAAATTCCATAGATTTCCGTTACTATGTAGTTATATGGATATTTTCCATTCCTAATTAGTCAAATTCAAGCATGGCAGTTCTACCACAGGAACCATTTGAAATTTATGCCATTTAACCCCAGCACTTGTGGGGAGAAGTGTTCGGATAGATCACAGGCAGGACCAAAAAAGCACGCAGTAGCCCAAGACCTTATAATTGGGTAGCATCGGCTCCCTCTCGTCAAGGGGTTCGATAGCACTCTTTTTTTCTGCAAAACTAAGTTCCGTCGGCGGCCGAACGCGATCAGTATCTACCTACTTTTGGGATTTTCGGTCAGGCAAGTCCCCGTCCCCCCCTATCGAAAACCCGTGGCGCCGCCCCTGATCAGAGAGCATCATCGATTAAAACACTGAAATAAATTCATAAAATGAAGATATTTGCTGTAAAAGAAATGAGGTGCAGATTTGGTCAAATCAGGTGCATTCGCCGGATAGCCCGTCGTGAAAACGGTTATTGTGTATTTTTTTGTTAAAAAAAAAACTAGCGCGACACGACGTGGTAGCTCAGCAAGCAATCAATACGGGTATGGCGTTGATTTCTTAAGTGGGGGTGTAACAATGGAACACATTACAAGCAATGGCGCTGATGATGTGCACAATACTCATGCCACTCTGGGATTCTGGGCGCCTATCAGTGAGCTCTATCCGAAGAGGCTACATCTGCTAGGCTATCCATTCTGACCACATTGCGCAATATATTTTTTGCCGTGTTATTAGCATGAGTCCAAATCATATTTATTCCCTACTTCGTGCTTATTCTATGTTACTTTGAACAACAATCAAGCACAACACAAACAAACGAGGCCATGGCTTATGTAACCATTACGACAAAAAGTGTTGTGACCTCTTGGGTAATGCGTTTTTATCCGTCTGATCTGTAATCACTGTTGAAGAAAATTGATAATATATTAAAAATTCATAATGCATTGCTTTAAATTCATTAACCCGCGCCGGGCCGGTGCTCTGAGATTCCGCGCCGGGCCGGGGGGGGGGTGTCTGAACATCCCCCCCATCTAACTCGGCTCCTGGGCCACGTAGCGACACGCGGTAAGCGGCAATCGAAAGAACGTCCAAAATAAGGACGAAAACACTTCGGTCATTTTTTGAGTCAGGTCAAAGGTCAGGTCACCAGAGGTCACCGAAGGTAAAATGTTGACTATCTGCCAACGTCTATCTCGGGAACCGATAGAGCTACAGCGCTGCGGAAAAGCGCATTCGATAGCCCTTTTACAGACCTTTCTGAGTAATGCTCTCAGATTTGACCTCAGGTCAACGGTTTAGCCTTCAGAGGGCAAAAACTCCAAAAATAGCCGTTTTTACGAAAAGCGTTTTTTCGGCAATAAATTTTGATTCAAAAGAGCCATAGCATTACTTTTGCCAGCATCGTGTTCCTCTCGTCGAGACGCGTCGAATGAACTATAATTTGACATTGAAAGGTCAACTTGAAAATTTGACCTCAGGTCAAGGTCATGACCTGACCGGAAAAGGTCATGTTGCATATCGAGCAACGTCGGGCCGAACACATCTAAGGCGTTTTCAGCGCTCTAGCACGCCTCTACCAGAAGTTATTAGCGAAAAACTGTTAGATTCTGTTCGTGACCTGAGATGACCTCGAGGACATAACGAGGGGTCACAGTTGCCATTTGCCGGCTCAGTGTGTCAATTTTACCTACATCTCGATGTTTGAGAGTGTCTAGAATGGCGTTCGTGCAAAACAGACGCTTTTCAATTTTCTCCCAATGACTTATAATGGAGAGGCCGCAAAATTGACCTGACCTTAGGTCACCGATATCAAAATTCCGAGATAAATATTTTGTAGATAATGTTGCTCTTATCAATCGTTGAAAGTTTCAAGGCAATCGATCAATCGGTGTAGCTATGACGAGCATTCTTATTTTTCTGAGGTGAGGTCACTTGGCGTGACCTGGTGACCTGACCTAAGGCGACCTGGGCCTGAAATTTTAACAAAATGTGCGGAAAAGATGCACAAACAGGTGTGCCAAAAACGGCGGCGCGGAGCGCCGCCGTTGTTCAGATAGCTGCGAAAAATCGCAGGGGGGGGGTGTTCAAACCCCCCGGCCCGGCGCGGGTAGATGGCGCCCGTCCTATCCTATCCTTTCCTGCAGCTTGTCCGTCTTCCGACCCGTTTCACATATCCTTCGTGCTCGTTTCCCGATAAAACCGGCGGCTCTAGGAGCCGAAGTGCGCGTTGGAGCGGCGGGCCGCTGAACGCTTGTGCGTAGGGATATAGTGCGCGTGTTTTCATTAATTAGATGGCGTTGTTAATTAATTGCTTTTGAAATATCATTGGAATATTTGTACTATCTCGTAGGGCACCGATTGTGCTGGTTGTAAGCGGATATTGTGTTTTCCGGAATTTCGAATGCCGCGCTGGCAGTCACGTGACCGGTTCTGATGTCGAGTCCGACTGCGCGGAAGGCGGTCTTTTCGTTCCCCGCCATGATTGGAGGCGGATGTGTTGCGGGTGCTCCGGATTTTGGTACCGGTGAGTGAGGTTCTAGAGGTTTGTAACTGCTGAATCTAATATGGTAACTACTCAGTTGAATTTATGTGATGAATATTTGTTTTGTTGTATAACTTTAATGTGAAAACCGGTTTATATGAGCTGATATGTTCGATTCTCCGGGACAGTGGCTCGGTTGCCCCCGATTCGGGGAGGACAAGCTGTGGAGCTTGTTTGTGGAGGCTGCCCTGGTGGCCTCGTGAGTTCGGTCGCCGTGGTCGTTTGGCAGCGCGCCAGAGACTGGATAAGCCGGTATGTTATCACTAAAGATGCTCATTGTCTATCTTTGCTTTGAATTTCGATACCTCAACGTCTGCTGTGTATTGCTTGATTTATTTACTTACTTGTAGAATGTTAAACAGAGTTCTTGGACCCCGAGCTGTGTTGTGACCCATTTTGCATCGTGCCAACTGGTATTTGACTCGAGCTCGTATTGTGTGGATGTGTTTGCAGTAACAATCAAATGATCGAAGACGGGATCCAGAGCGGTCCAATACAGATCTGTCCACGGCCAAGTCTCTGAGGTGGCCAGGTGACCGAGGGGTGGCAGGGAGCAGATGCGGGCGATGGTGGCGCGAGCAGTGGCCGGGGGCCATCTGCATCTACAGTTACGGCTACCTTCTCCGCGCCTTCATCTGCTGGTGAAGCCCAGTAGCGGCTTCCCTCTCTGCGCCTTCGGCTGCGTCTGGAGCTACAGTTACCTTACCTTACCTTAATGTTGGCGGGACTATTGGAGGCCAGAGGCCTATTGGACCCGATCTCGTCGAGCTCATGCGGTACTCTTTGCTCAAACTCAGTTTATGGTAGGGATATCGTACATACGACTCGACCAGTGTCTGTCAAGGAGGTTCTTGAACCCATTCAGGGTCGGTGCGAGAACCACTTCAGCCGGCAGCGAGTTCCAGTCGTTGACCGCACGTACGCTCCAGTGGTTTCTTCGTACTCTAGTCAGAGCTCTTGGTTTGGCCACCTTCATCGTATGACCTCTTGTGCTTGCCGATGGAGCAGCCTGGAAGAAGTCTTCTTTCTTCAGGTTCAGAAGACCAGTCATGAGCATGTAGAGCATGATGACGTCTCCTCTGCGTCTTCTGTAAAGCAAGGACGGCAGCCGTAGCCTGCGCAGCCGCTCCTGATACGGGAGATGCCGGATTTCAGTGACAAGTCGCGTGGCTCTGCGCTGGACTCTCTCCACCAGTCGTTGATCTTCTTTGTTGAAGGGGCCCCAGATGATGTTGCCATACTCTAGGTGAGGTCGGACCAGGGTCTTGTAGAGGACTGGGAGAGTCTCGGAGTTGAGTAGCTCAAAGGAGCGTCGGATGACTGCCAGAATCTGGTTGGCCTTGCTGATGGCAACAGCAGCATGCTTCTTGAACTTCAATTCCTCGTCGATGAAGATGCCCAAGTCTTTCTCTTCTGTCACCGCTGAGAGTGGCTCCCCCAGAAGCGTGTACTGGAACCGTGGGTTACCTCTCCCGAGGTGAAGAACCTTACACTTCTTCAGGTTGAAAGGGAGAAGCCAGGTCGCTGACCAGTTCGCTGCGGCTACTAGGTCGAGTTGCAACTGGGCGCCGTTCGCGTCAGTAGGAGCCTGAGGCGGTTGCGACTGGTTTGGGCCGTACAGTTTTGCGTCGTCCGCGAACATGGCGATGTGGCTCTTGACACATTCTGGGAGGTCGTTTACGTAGATGACGAAGAGCGTCGGTCCCAAGACCGAACCCTGTGGGATGCCGCTCATGACAGGGTGTTGAATCGAGGTTGTTCCATTGATCGACACTCTTTGACCTCGGCCAGTAAGAAATGCCTCAATCCACTTGAGCACCGGGCCTCGGATTCCGTAGCCCTTCAACTTTGCAAGCAGACGCTTGTGCGGAACAGAGTCGAAGGCTTTTCGAAAGTCCAGGTAGGCAATATCAATATGCTCTCCATTCTCCAGCTGCCGAGTCCAGTCTTCCAGAGTAGAGAGGAGTTGGGTTGCGCACGACCTCTTGGGAAGGAAGCCATGCTGGGCATCGTTGAGCTGCCCGGTCTCCGTGAGGAACTCCATGATTCTGTCTCTGACTATGCCCTCCAGCACCTTCGAAAGCACGGATGTCAGGCTTACAGGTCTGTAGTTTGCTGGTTCCAGTCTGCAACCACCTTTGAAGATTGGAACAATAGTTCCCAGTTTCCACTCGTCTGGAAGAGAGCCGCTATCAAGGGACTTCTGGAACAGAGAGCAGACGGGAGAACTGATTGCGGTCGCGAGCTCTCGCAGGACCCTCGAAGGAATACCATCAGGACCAGGGGAGGTGGAGGTTTTGAGGCTCTCTAGTCTGCGCTGAACCAGTGCAGGACTCAATTCAACACGCTCTAGTGTTCGTCCTTCCCATGGAGACGCCAGGTCAGGCATGTTCGAACAGTCCTCCACGGTGAAGACACTGGCAAAGAACTCAGCAAGCACGTCCGCCCTCTCCTGATCTGAAAGTGCTAACGAGCCATCAGCCTTTCTGAGGTTTCCAATGCCAGGCTTAGTTTTCAAACGTGAGTTGACATATCTCCAAAAAGGCTTCACGTTGTCTTTGAGCGCATCAACCAGAGTCTGTTCAAACCTCCGCCTCAACCGCCTGGTGAGGCTTCTCAGGTCGTTACGCGCGCGGACAAAACGATTGTAGCACTCCACGTCTCGAGTTCTCACGTATTTCTTCCAGAGCTTATTTTTCTTATTTCTTAGAGTCCGGGCTTCTCTTGTTACATAGATGTTCTTCCTCTGATGGGATCGATGAAGCGGGATGTTCTCTGTCATCATCACCCTGATGGTCTCGGAGAAGAGCTTGCAGTGTTCTTCCAGCGGGACCGACTCTAACGAGGCCCACGACACGCTTTGGAGGTCATTCACCATCTTTGCATAATTACCCTTGCTTAGGTTCAACTTGGCTGTGTGGTTGCCTGCTCCAGGTGTGTAGCAGTGCAGCTCGAACCATAACACCTCATGGTCGCTGTTCCCGAGAGGAGGGAGGTGAGTGATTTCGGATATCATGCCCTCCTCATTAGAAAATATCAGATCCAGGACGTTGGGGGTGTTACCATGTCTGTAACGTGTTGGTCGCTTGACATGCTGATGGTCTCGGCGCCTTCATACAGTTGCTGCTTAGTCTCTGCGCCTTCATCTGCCTCTGGAGCTGCAGCACCGGCTGCGCGCCGCGCCTTCCAGGATTCTGCCTGAGTGGTGTGTGGCTGGCTGGCGCGGAGTGGTGTGCGGCTGGCTGGCGCAGAGTGGTGTGCGCCGGCGAGAGGCGCTGCGTGGTGTATGCCGGCGAGAGGCGCTGAGTGGTGTGCGCCAGCGAGAGGCGCTGAGTGGTGTGCGCCAGCGAGAGGCGCTGAGTGGTGTGCGCCAGCGAGAGGCGCTGAGTGGTGTGCGCCAGCGAGAGGCGCTGCGTGGTGTGCGCCAGCGAGAGGCGCTGCGTGGTGTGCGCCAGCGAGAGGCGCTGCGTGGTGCGCGCCCTTGGTGCGTGCAGTGTAGTGTGCCCCTGGACGGGCTGAGAGGGTGCTCCCAGCGGGTGAGTGCCCCTCTGGCGGAAACATCTTTCGCGGAGCTGCACCTTCAGCTCTGCATCTGCTTGAGTAGCAGCGACCGCCTCTCCTCGCTGCCTGGTGCCGGCATCCTGGTTCGGCCGGAGCTGGGAGCTGGAGGATCTGGCCGTCTGAGGTTTGCTGCTACCTGCTGCTTCTGCTGGACTGAGTTGACTGGTAAGGGTGATCCTGTGGTGGTCCTGCGCTGGTTTTAAATTGTGTTATGTGGTGTGTTTTTATATTGCTGGGAAGTGTCTAGGTTAAGGTGTTTAGATTAAGTGATTGCTGAGGAATGCGGTATCCTCTCAGTGCTGGGAAGTGTTTTTAAGTGTCTAGATAGTAGATAAGTGAGGGTGGAAGGTCTGTGGTATCCCCGCTGTGCAGATTCCTATTCCCTCACCCTGAAATGGCGCCTACTAAGGAGGAGTTGGGAAGGTTGAAGCTGACAGAGCTGCAACGGGAATTAGAGACCCGTGGGCTGGAGGTAACCGGTAAGAAGCAGGATTTAGTGGATAGGTTGTGGTCAGCCCTCGAGACTGAGATGGACCAGTTAAACCCGGCAGAGAATAAGGTGAGTCCCCGAGAAGCTACTGGAGGGCCATCGACAGATGTATCGATTATTTTGGCGAAACTTAAGCTCCTCAAGGAGGAACAGGCCGTAGAGCAGGAGCGGATGGCGGTGAGGGCACGCGAATCGCTTTTGCAGGCCAGGTCGGAGCAGCTTAAACTTGAACGCGAGTTGGTAGAGGCAGGGCACCTAGTGGAGCCTGAGTTGGCCCAGGTGCAGGTTCCGATCGAGCCGGTGGGTAAGCCCTCACTGGGGGAGGCCCTCAGTGCCCAGGTCAAGCGGTCCCTGTTGCCCCCCGCAGAGCTCCGCCCGTTCAGCGGCGAAATAAGAGACTATCGTTTATTTACTAGATCGTTCCAGGCCCGTATTGAAACAAAGACTGAGGACCCAGATGAGCTTCTTTTTTATCTCGATCAATATACGAAGGGAAAGCCCAACCAGCTCGTGCGAGGGTGTCTCCACCTGGGGGAGGCTGGTTTTGCAGAGGCAAAGCGGCTCCTGGAGGTTCGCTACGGCAACAGTGTGGGGCTGGTCGACTCCTATGTCGAACAGGTGAGAGGCTGGCCTAAGGTGGCCGCTGGCGATGTTGAGAGTCTGGACCAGCTTCTTCTGTTTCTTGACCGAGATCATGAACGCGATGGAGAGTGTGGAACTGAGTGAATTTGATCATCCAACGAACTTGCGCCTTGTCATGTCGAAGCTGCCCTCGTACCTCCAGGATCGGTGGATGAGAGAGGCAGATAGACTCCTTCAGGAGGGCTCGACCGTGCGCCTGTCGAACCTGGTCGGGTTTCTGTCCGCTGAGGTCCGTGTAAAGCGGAATCCTCTGTTCGGTCCTCGTAGTGCCGAACCCGCGCGCCGTGAGGCTGTGTCCAGGTCCTCTCCCGGGTTTAAGGTGAGCGCAGCTCGGGTCACACGACCGGGCGCGGGGTCAGGGCTGTGTCCTTTTTGTGACGGTCGCCATGAGCTGGACAGGTGCCAGCGGATGTTTGAGAGGCCCTGGCCTGAGAGGCGTCGGACGGTGTTACGAGCGGGGCTTTGTTTCGGGTGCCTCAGGGAGGGTCACCGTGCCCGCTCTTGCAGGAGCCAGCTGACTTGCCGCTCTTGCGGTGGGCGTCACCCGTCGGTGATGCACCGGGACCCCGACTGTGACGCTCGTGGTGTTCCAGCTGCCCCTCCGGTTTCCGCCCAGCCGCCGGTGGCGCGGCGTGGTGCCGGCGGCGGCCGGGAGTTGCGGCCCGAGGCGGCGGTGGTGCCGCCGCGCGGAGATGGTGTGGCGCCACCTCGTGGTGGATTTGTGGCGCCACCTCCCGGCGGTGAGGGGTCGGGTTCCCACAGCGGAGCCGTGATCAGTGCGAGCCTTGGACTCCAAGGTGTCGATCGGACGGCGCTGCCGGT